TCCAGTGAAAAAATCATTGTGTCTGAATCAGGAGAGAAATATGCACAGATCAAGCAACGTTTACAAACCAAAACAGTCAAAAACAAATGTGTGGGCGGATTTTGATGTGAGAGGACAACAGGGGATGGGCTTTTTCACTGGAGTTATTACGGATTATGTACTCGTAATTTGGCCCGAAGCAACGGTTTGAAGTTAAAAACGTCTTAATGATGGATTAGTTTCTTTAAAAAACACAGCTTTTCATTTCACAAGATGTAAACTGATGGACTGGAGTGGTGTGGATTACTTGTGGATTATTGTGATGATTTTTTCAGCTGTTTGGACGCTCGTTCTGACGGCACCCATTCACTGGTGAGCAACTGATGTAATGCTACATGTCTCCAAATCTGATGAAGAAACAAACTCATCCACATCTTGGATGGCCTGAGGGTGAGGACATTTTCAGCCAATTTTCATTTTTGGGTGAACTGTTCCTTTAAGCAGTACTTATCAAAATGCATTTGCAGCTAATGTCTGTCAGTCCTCTTCTGCAGCCGTGATTCTACTGTAAAAGTCTTGAAATGAAAATGCTAATTCACGTTTCTCAGCATGATTGTATAATGAATTCACTCCCTGTGAATCTGACCTAGCGGTGTATGTCTCGCATAACTGACTCAGAGGACGAGGGTCGAGTCCTCTGTCAGCAAACTCCCTCTGTTTAGGAGACAAGAGGATGTAGAAATAACTTCCAGCGCTTGAGGGGCTCTTTGACATTTTGTTTTGACACCAGGCTTGGGAAACTTCATCAAAAAATGTAAATTCAGAGAATGCATCACATAAAGGCATAGTGCATGTCACGTATAAGAGCAGCATTTTGTAATTGGTGTCTGGTGAAGGGGAACTCTTCTTCTAAAAGTGCACCAATCGTTTTTCATCTGCGTCTTGCTGGGCCCTATGACATCGTTCTAGGATGTGTCATCATGCACTGAATGCTCAGAAATCATGAGCCACGATTCATTTATTCAGCAACCATACATTGAATTAAAAGAGGAGTTTTAATTAAAATCCAATTCAGGATCTTGATATACCAGTCAAACGTTTGAAATAAATATGATTTTTAAAAAATATTTTTGAAAGAACTCTCTTCTGTTCACCAAGGCTGCATTTATTTGATCAAAAATACTGTAAAAACAGTAATATGTGCAATATTATTACAATTTAAAATAACTGTATTCTATGTGAACTTTGTAAAATGTGATTTATTTGATCAAAACTGAATTTTCAGAAATCATTCTAATATGCTGATTTGCTGCTCAAGAAACATTTCTGATTATTATCAATGTTGTGCTGCTTCATATGTTTGTGGAAACTGAGACACATTTTATTTTTCAGAATTCTTTGATGAATAGAAAGTTCAAAAGAACAGCATTTATTTGAAATAGAATTATAAATGCATTTACTGTAGTTTTGGATTCATTTAATGCATATTTGCTGAATAAAAGTATTACATTTTTTTTACATATTTCACACTTTTAACCAGTAGCATGTATGTATGGCAGTATTTTGCAATGAGAATATGCAGCTTCAAAACTTTGTAATGGCTAAAAGTCGTTTTAAGTTGTACCTTTTTTATTTGATTATTTGCAGTTCTTCATTGGATTGTAGTTCACAGTTTTATAGTTTTCCTATTCTGTTTGCTTCAAGAAGTGATGTTGTGATTTATCATAGAGCTGGTTGGTGTGTTTCAGCATTTACAACTCTTTATTGAAAAATGTTTTGAAATCGCTACACGGAACATCAGTGGGAAAAATACTTCCAAAATCAAGTGGACATTCCCTGTTGTTCTTCATTTGATCTGTGTTATCCAGAAACCCTGAAAGGCCTAAAAAAATGAGGGATTGCTGTTGGTTGACAGAGTGTGGTGTTGTTCTGTCAACGTTGAGCTGAAGTTGCTTCGGATCACCATTTGAAGCTAATTCTCTGTGTGTGCCTGCGATGAAACACAAAACACACTCCAAGGGTTTTAACAAACTCCGCATTCAGGAAACTGTTTTCAGGCATCATGCAAAGCTTTTTTGTATCTGCAGCAGAGTTATTTCTTCTTTCAAACTCCCTCTTCACTGTCATTCCTAACGAAAAGCGGGTTTTGGTTGTGTAGCGAGGCTTCACACGTGTCCGTGTGAAGCTGAGGAAAGCTGTTTCCTGTCTGAAAGCACCAAAGAAGTTCATTTAAGACGGGATAATTGGTCCCTTGATCAAAGCGGGCCGGTTGAGCGGGACAGCAGCTAGCGGTCCTACGGTTTAGCATACAGCGCTGCTTTGTGTAATTGGACTGTGTTTTCTGCTGTGGATGTGCACCTAATCATCTGTGCTTGTCTGTTTTGCTTTGGCCCTCAAATCCACACACCAGAAGAGAGCCAACAAAGCACCAAAGCATCTTCTCTGTGTGTCGGGACGTCCAGAGAGAGAAGTAAACCTTTGTTTTAGAGCGAAATCACGCGCACGTTGTTGTTTACAAGCTTATTTCGCACTAAGATCGTTGTAAACAGATAACGAGTCAGTGTTGATTTGCGTCTGCATTGTAGGGATACTGAAGCCGGTCGAATGCGCTGATGTTAATCACATATAAACACCGGGTTTTCACGCTGGTGTTATCAGCGGTGTCATTTGCTAATTAGATATAATTGGGTAAATGACACTGAAGTGTCCCGAGGTCGCATTTATTTTATTTGTCTACTGAATGCAAGAGCGTTATATAAAACCCCAAGACATGCCCTTGGAAATTCATAAGCGTGATTCCAACCCTCTGAACATTGAGGCACTCAGTAAATACGAATATCAATTGATTTACAATTACAACACAGCTGTGGTTGTTCATTAAGAGGGATTGCTATGTCAATGACTATTGCTTTGACTTCTACTTAGGGTTAATGAAATAAGCAAAATAAACCAAAGTATTGAAATTTGTAACTCATCCTGCACCACAAACACTTTGGAATAATTATGATTTTTAATGCTTTTGAAAGATGTCTCTTTAGTTCACCAAGGCCACATTTATTTGTTTAAAAATACAGTAATATTGTGAAATATTATTACATTTTAAAATAACTGATTTCTATGTGAATATTTTGTAAATTGTAATTTATTCCTGTGATGGCAAAGCTGAATTTTCAGCATCATTACTCCAGTCTGCAGTGTCACATGATCCTTCAGAAATCATTCGAATATGCTGATTCGCTCCTCAATTATTATCAGTTATTATTGATGATCGGTTATTTTGCTGCTTAATATTTTTGTAGAAACTTTGAAACCTTTGTTCTGCATACTTTGAATGAACATAAAGTTCAAAAGAACAGCATTTATTTGAAATAGAAAT